AAACTGAAGTGCTTCGATCAAATCTTAAAGTTGTTCCCAGTGATTTTTTTTAGTGTAGATTAGTTCTGATTAAACCTTCCTCCCGCTCTGATTGGTGGGCTCCTGATCAGTGGGGGCGGGGCTAATTAGCATACCTCATCAGCTTGATAAATGCCAGCGAGAAGTTTCACCTGTGGAGTCAGAGCCACGGAGGAGGAAGCGGCAGGCTAACATCAGAAACAGCGGGAACTGAAGCCGAAMGAAGAACTTTACTCAGCAGTACCTGTTCCCTCTCTTCCGTCCGCTTTAGGGCTTCCTCCCCCTGTCGACCCGGAGGTGACTCCAGCGCCCGGTTCTGCTGCTTTGAGTCCGGTTCGACCCAGTTTGTTTCCCGGGTGACCCATGAGGCTGGAGGCTGCAGCCAGGATGGATGTGTTCAGGAAGCTGTGGCGGGCGAGGAAACTGATCCTTGTGGTGTTTATCCCGCTGTCCCTGCTGCCCCTGCCGCTCATCCACCCCACCAGCGTGAGTAACAAGTCAGGACCCTCCGTCTGAACAGAAAAGTCACTTTTAGAGAAACTGGAGTGGTTAGATACAGAGTCCTGCTGGGATTTAAATGTGTATGAGAAAAAAGGAAACAGAATCAATCACGAGACATACAGTCCTTTTGTTGTGATGAGGACTGGTTCCAAGCTGTCCCATCATCAGCTGATGTGTGTGTGTGTACTTGTTTCTGCTACAGAGTGAGGACCACTAGCAAAATAGTTACTATGAAAGAGAGGTATTTGGTGTAAAGTGAGGACCTTATCTCGGTCCTCACTTTTTGCAGCTCTACTGTGCTTTACTAGTTAGTAAAAATGAATGGAAGTTATTACTATGTGTTCGGTCTGTATCACCATCTATTGGACATTGGGTCCAAAGCTTTGATTTTTGGGTTACTTTACAAATTTGTAATTCATCAAATGTCTTCACCCAAAGCATGCCCWGTTGAAAAGTGTATATTTTGCTCAGCCCATATTGAGTTTGACTTGGTCTTAAAATCAAATGGGAAGTAGGAATTGTCTGGGAGAATGGAATAAAAAAAATGAATGGAAGTCAATATAAAAACAGTTAGATGAAAATACAAGTGTGTTTGTGTGTGATGTCACCACATGCTGATGGGATGAAGGTCAGTCCTGTATTTGAACGAAACAGGAAAACGGAGATAAAACAGACAGGAGAAAGCTTTGTTCTTTTTCAAGCTGGATTTTATTTATTTCTTCAAGTCTCGTGGTTTTTCCAGCTTGTATTAAGTGCTGGATTTGAGTTAAGCCCTGTWTTGGATTTATTATAAGCAAATGATATCTAACATGTAACAGTGCTATTTAAAATTCGGTGGTRTTACAGGATTACAGGGAAATACATTGTAGTTGGTGAACTATATATATATGTATATATAGTGTATGATTTTAAGAAATGTTTGAGTTTACTCTTTGACAAAAAACCACAATTTCTTTATCTGTCTGTGACGTTGGCATGCAGTCTTCTTTTTACCACAGATAAAATGTTATGAGTCTTTCTATGTTTGTTTGTGCAAAATACATCAGAAGTAAGAAGGATGTGGGACAGCTGACCACAGAGGATGGGTGAGCATTTGCCTACAGAGGTTTAAAACTGTGTTGCAAGCAAGTTATTTAGAATTTGTTTCTTGTAAAAAGGTTTCTGAAACTGCCTGCAGTCAACATACTTCACATATGGCGGTCAATATTATAAACAGAATCATGAGTGCGCTTTGGGCCCCCCAGTTTCTCCTGTTGGTGCAAACCACCACATGGAGGAGGAAGAAAAAATATAAAGCTTTGGTGTCCTTTTTAGAGACACTTCTGAGCCATTGGTTCAGGAATGCTGATGACCCCTGGTAACAGTTGCCCTGAAATTCCTTTAAAGTGTTTTGACATTTTTTCATTAAAAAAAATCCCAGGTAGCATCTGGACATGTCTGGAAA